TCAATGATAAAAGTCAACCACAAAATCTACAATTTTCGGTTCCATGGTATCAAAGCTGTCAGCAAGAATAAGGATCTAAGTTCAGCTTCCAGACATAGTCAAAATTACCCAAAACAATACTATTCACAGAAAGAAAATGAAAAAGGCATAAGCAAATTAAGCAACAAATGCACTAAGAAATCATGAAACAAACCATTCACTGCATCGATGCCTTGAACTCTTTCCCAAGGACAGCTGCTGCTGCTTGTCAGTACGATCCATAAAGAATGAGAAAACCCAGCAATATGATATTGAAATGAGATGTCAGAGGATAAGAAAAAGTATAGCAGTGATGGGCTTAAGGTAGTGAAGTAGAGAAAGAGACAGAGACCCCGAATGGCGATGTCGATATTGGGGAAGTTCTTTGCCCACGTTCATCAAACAGGTGGTGTTCAACCATAGATTGTAGTTGTCCAGAGCCACGGGCCACACTTGTGGGTCATACTTTGCTTTTTTGATAATCACCCTTTCAATCTGTTCAGACTTCATAATTCTTAAACTGCAAGGTCTACAAGTCTAAATATAGAGGCAAATCACAGCAGGAACAACAAAGTCAAAGATACACACAAGAACAAAAGTAGTTACCAAACATAGCCAGAAATGGGAAATAAAAGTTTATAGTTTCAGATTCACCATAACATAATCAGAATGGAACTGTGAATTAAAATTGAATGGGAAAAAAGGTAATATTCCTTTTGCCACTGTCATTTATATGCCTTTTCACGTGAAAGAAAACAGAGATAGCAAGCAGGAAACGTCAAAAATTGGGAAGAACACTAAAGAAGTTGGCTATAGTTAATGAAGTGGGGTATCTATTGGGGTCCCATACAATAATAATTACACAGATACGATATGATATCTTCCACTAATAGCTATCTTCTACCATTCCTTTCACGAAGATGAAAACAAAAAATGGGTTTTGGGTCCAAGTCAAAGTCTTTTGATTGAGAGCCTTACCAGTGGCGCGTGACCATGTAGGGCTGGCGGGAACACAAAAGCCATGCACATGTGCAGTAGTCATCTTATATGAACATCAATAATTCTTCATCAAGAAGTGATATTTTGGCCCTGTTTGAAAATTCTGATCACTTATTGAAGAAGCAAGCTCATCATCTCATCACAATCATTCCAATGTGCAAATTAATTTAGGGTTAAAATGCACATTTGTACTGGAAGTCTTCACTCAGGAGCATGGAATTTTTTTTTAGAGTAAATTTGTTTTAGAAGTTTAAAATCGTAACAATATTACCCCTTACGATTAAAAAGCTAATGTTAATAGTTAAAATGTTACCCATGATTTTAAACTTTCAGGGTAAATTTAATCTAAAAAGACTTCCGAATTTATAGTAAAAACTTTCAGGACAAATTTATATCTTAACCTATTAATTTATTTGAATGGTAAGCAATTGTTAGATTTGGATTCCTCATGCAAGGGGAGGGATAGAAATAGAATGAAACTTATATGGGGAAAATTGCTGAAAATTTTCCCATTACAAAATTTATTGCTTAAAAGTACTTAGGGACTCAAATTATTGAACGGGTACAATTCATTTTTAATAAGTGCAACTCTTCTTCAACTATATGTAACATATCTCTAGTTGTGTACAAATGTCCTTCATTTTGCACATAGTTGAAGATAGATTACATTCATATAAAGAAATGTATTTCTGCGTAACAAATTTTGCAATGAATGATTTTTTTAGCAATTCTTCCATTTAAACGGGACCTCGGCTTGCATTGCTTGCAGACATGTATCTTCTCGCTTCATCAGTTAGGCAACTAAAGAAATCTGAATTTGAAAAATGGTTTTTTTTTTTTAAAAAGGGAAATAAAGTTTTTAAATAAAATTTAGATTGGAAAATAGCATTTAATGACAGGTTGATCATGTTTGGTACAAAGTTAGATCATATGATTGTCTATATGGTGATGTTGTCTCCATTCGGAGCTCTCCATCATGAGTATCTAGAAAATGCATTAAAACATGGGCGAATTTTTAAGGTGCTCGTAAAGTCCAATGCTTTGCTGTCTACACTTTTTAACGTATTGGATAGTATCTCCGGTCTTTAATATAAAATCTTGTTTAACTTTTATTTTGATTTTAAATATAATACATCAATCCATCTTGTTTTTAATATTTATGCATTTTTTTTAAGATAGTCCTTTTAATAATAGAAGTTCTGGCTAACACACTTGATTAACATAGATATTTTAGGAAAAACAACACCTATTTATTACAAATAATTAACTTAACTTATTTTCTTAATCTCCTCAAATTAGTCAACTAGATCTTATAATTAGGACTAGGGGTAGTATTAATAATAAACTATAGCCCAGAGTTATACTTCAGTCAGGTCAAATAAACAATCTTTGTCTTTGACTTCCTAATACAAGACCAGCCGGTACAAAAGTTAAAGAGGGTTTTTTGATTTGCGGTTTATCATTCCTCAACAATATTTATATATATTATTTTTATTATGTATTTTAAATTAAATGCTTCAATTTGTTACGTATATTTTTTTAAAAACAAATGGCACCACTCATTATAGAAGTTGAAAATTTTTCAAATTGGTTCGTTTAAGTCCTTGAGTCCTATTATATGGAATTCATTATAATTAAATTAATGTATTTTTAATTGTTAATTTTTATGTATGAAATTAAAAAACATACTAGTAAATGTCATAAATTAATATTCAAATCCGAATAAATTAATATTAATCCCTAATTTTTTTGGCTGATAGTAATAAGGCTAATATTAATCCCTAAGAGTTGATCAGGATCAATCACAATTGGATCTGCTTCATACTTAAAAGCTGAGAATCAAACTCCTAACACAGAAATGAAAGCCCAAGCTACAACTGCTGATGTATCGACTTAAGTTGGTTAGGACATTAGTTTTTCACTTCTTTATATTCTAATGATATTTGAATTTTTTTTTTTAACTTATAGACAGATTCATCACCTACCAATAAGATTCTCAAGTTAATGACAAAATTTAAATTTATAATATTGTGGATTATGGGTTAAATCCTTACTAACTTAACCATTTTTTGTTGGCAATATATTAAAACGATAAATGATCAAAAGGAAGCCATTCAACTTGCTAAGAAGAAGACAGCAGATATCATTAATTACATAAAATCAACTTATAAAAATAGTAGAAGCAAATCGTTAATCATTTAATTCCAGCAGTATGATCAGCCAAAAATGGAAAAAGTGAATTTAAGAGCAACAATTCCAAGAGAGGCCAAGCGAATGAGCTCATAAAAATACATGACAAGCCGTCAATATACAGGCAACAAAGGACAGGATTAACGACCTCAGAATATGGCTATAGGCTTTTATAAGTTGTGACAAAATTCTTTTTACGTATTTATCGTAAATCACGATTGAGAAATATAAATCATTCGGAACAAGCCATAAACTGTTGAGTCCACGAATCTGTCATTTAATTATTGGAACAATTTATTATAATCACATGTTGCATTGTGAACCTAGATGATAAATTAATGCTGACAAGATTCCAGTAACAATTATTGTTATAAACAAGGAATTCATACATTCTACCGCAGCTGCGGTTCACTTCAATATATATTGTACAATATAGTTCATCTCATTTTTTATATAACTTATATAGCAAGCAACATTGACAAAAAAGAAAGATCAAGATGATTTTTACAAACATGAAGAAACTTATAAAGAAACTTCTACAAACACCACTCAGTGCAGCAATAAGCAAACTGCATAATTTTTGTCTGTCAATATCTCCTATAAAGTCTTCTTATATGGAATCTTTTAAGGACAAGAAATGCCCACTTCTCTGGAATAAAAGTGCTTCCCATAGCTATTCCAAAAGCAAGTCCACCTCCATATCCGATCACAACTATCTTCCAGTCATATTCGAAGAGGTACTCATCATCTTCTGAAGGGGGAGTAATCACACGCTCTCCACGATGATCTTCACATTCCTTCAACAATTGCACCCCGCATAATCCTTGGTTCCCCTCGAATGAATTGCTCTCGAATGTGTCAAACTGAGGGTTTTGAGGTATTGGACCAGACAGATGGTTGTAGGACACATTGAGGAATTCAAGGAAGTTGAGTTCTGTAAGTTCTTGAGGGATCTTCCCTGTTAAATTGTTGTGGGAAAGGTCTAATGCCTCAAGTTGAGATAACTTTCCCAGAGAAGATGGAATACGTCCAGTGAACAAGTTATTAGACAGACTGAGCAAAACAAGCCCCTTCAAGTCTCCAATGTTATCTGGAATTTCTCCATTAAGCTTGTTGCTTGAGAGATCGATGGCTATAAAGAAGTACAGTTGTTGGAGCTTCTCATAGACCATGAGTTTTCCTTTGTTGAAAATTGTGAAGGACTAAGGGTAAGTGAAGCCCCAGTAGCTTTCTGTTTGCTTGTAATAGTGATACCATGGCTCATACTTGAGGTGATTCGCGGCAGAAGCTCTCATGGATGCCCAGTCCTCAAGTAACTCTGAGGGAAAGTTTCCTGAGAAATCATTTTGAGAAAGATCAATGACGTGCAGCTTGGGAAATGTGCAAGTTCTTGGGGAGCTTATAACTCCAGAAAACTTGTTAGAACGTAGCACAAGGACTTTCAACTCAGGTAGATTTCCCAACCAGAAAGGAAAAGAACCATTGATTTGGTTGTTGCTGACATCAAGATACTCTAACATTCTACAATTGCTCAATGTTTCAGGCATCTGACCCTGTAAATTGTTTTGGCTAAGATCAATCAACTTGATGGCACTTCCTTTCATGAATGTTTGAGGAATGAAACCATAAAACTTGTTGTTCCCCAGCTTGAGTGTTTGCAACTTTCTGCTGAAAGTTCCTAAACATGGTGGAATGTTACCACTTAAATTGTTATACGATAATTCGAGGAACTCAAGTTATTTCAGATTGCAGATCAATGGTGGAATTTCTCCAACAAAAAAGTTGTTAGAAAGTCATAATACCCAGAGGTTTTCTTTTCTATATATCCAGCTTGGGAGGGTACCCTTTATTTTATTGTTTGACAGGTCAAGTTCTTCCAGCTGGTCCTGGTCTTTCAGAATTTCTGGAAACTCGTTCATGCTGCAAGAAGCCAAAAATAATGTTGTAATATTCATGGCAAGACTTGCATTGAATGCACTTGGCTTGATAATCAATGACAGATTGTTATATGACAAACAGAGAACGGATAGCATCTTGAAGCTCCAGAGAAACATGCCAAGTTCTAATTGCCCAGACAAGTGATTTCCTCTCAGATCCATATAGCTAAGATTCTCTAGTGAGAAAATTGAGAGTGGTATTTTCCCGTGAAGCTTGTTGCCTGAAACATCCAGATAAGATAACTGGGTGATATTTAACAAGGAAGAAGGTAGATTTCCCTTGAATTGGTTATATCCAAGATCCAAATAAATGAGCCTAGTGAGGTTTCCAATTGAACCAGGTAGATTCCTTCGGAAGCCAGCACTTCGGAGTGTTAAAAACTGCAAGGGTATGCTAGAGTGAAACTCAGGCAAATACCCAGAGAGACCCTGATTCGCTCCCACATTGAGATACTCCAAATTTGGAAGAAGAAATATTCCTATGGGAAATTCGCCATATACTCCAGTACTGAGCAGACAAAGGTATTCCAAAGAAGACAGATTGGTGAGTGCACTAGGTATTGGAGACGACATATTAACATAGCCAAGAGAAAGTACTTGCAAATTAGTTAAGTTTTGAACTACGTTTCCCAGGTTTTGCTGCTTGAAATGCAGCAGATTTGTTGGAGGAGATAAGGCATCATAGTTACAGCACAAATCAAGAACCAACAAGTTGGATAGTTGTGAAATCTCTTCTGGGATTTCTCCAGAAAATTTGGACCCAGAAAGGTCCAAATGGGTAAGCCTTGAAAGATGGGCAAAGCTTGATGGGATATGAGAGTAATTAAAGTGATTATCAGAAAGGTTAAGTTTTTCAAGTTGGGAAAGCTGAAAGAGAGTACTATTAGACTCAATAGAACCATAAATCTGACTGCTGCTAATGTCAAGGCCAATCACATGACCTGTTTGCTCATCACATTTCACGCCAAGCCATGAGCAGCAGTCTGAGCTTGAATTCCAAGAATTTGTTTTAGTATAACTGAGAGAACTTTGAGAAGCAAACTTAGTGATGGCAAATCTTTTCTTAAGTTGCAGCAAAGCAGAACTTTCAGCTTGATGACACGGTGCAGGCTGCACAAAAACAAAACAATTAATGACTGTGAATGTGAATAGAAAATAAAGAGGAAGATTAAACATTGATTTACTAAGGAACCAAGACAGTCCCATATACAAAACTGGAGCTCAAAACTAGAATTCAGAGATATATGAAAAATGAAGCACACCAGTAAGGTTTTATGTACAAGAGATATCGGCGTTTTGTGCATAAATGTCAACACACATGTTATTTGATACGTATTTATCTACATTTGTTTTTATCTGCTAGTCAAGTTCCGTATCAGTTATGGCAATGGCATCCCTCAACTGTCCAAATTCAGTGGTGTGGGTTGACGAAGGGATCAAAAATGTCAAAACACATGGCAATCTTGTTGTCCTTGTGTGTTGAAGATTGTGTGCATGCTAAAGATTATATGCAATTGCTTTTGTAGAAATACTGTTGCTGACTAGATTGGGGTATACGGTGAAAACTTTATCATGGAAAGAATACGTCTTAAGAGAATTAAATATATAAGCCCAACAATATTTGAATATTAATTTTTGGTCCTAAACATAACTCAGTAACCGACTCATTAGTTGCTACTTTCTAATTTTACTCTTGTTAATAATTAACATTTAGTGTTAAAAAGCTCACCGAACTCTGTGTTCATCCATCTACGTCATCTAAGATGGGGTAAACTTGAAAAAAATTATCAATTGCAAACAGATTTAATACTTTGATTGACATTCTTTAATACGTAAAAATTAGTTGAGAATGCTCTATAAAAAGAATTAGAGGGAGTATCAGATATTAAATAACCGTAAAAGAAATAATTTTGATGAGAAAAGACGCCATTGCTAGTCAAAAGACAATATTAGCCAAGTGAAGAAAGATTGAAGGACTTGAGGTAGTGAAGATAGATTTTATTCGGCTATTTGTAGATGCATGAAGTTCCCTATTAGTCATGGCGATTTGCACTCTCAAATGTCCAAGTAGAGTGGTAGAGTTGAATTATACATTGTGGTTTTTGGTCTATTCCAGGCTTTTTGTAATGGATTGTATTCATAACAATTTTGATTATTCAAAGATATTGACTAAACCATAAAACAAGTTGTACTTGGATGGTATAGCTGTGAAATCAACTTTTAGAATAGCTGTTATGTTATTTGATGTAAAATATGCACATTTTAATAATCATTAAATAATTTATATTACCAAAAAAAAAAATCTTGACAACTTATCATATTTGAGTCAAAACATATATTTTCTTTCACAATCTATTACACATTCGATCTTCTAAAAAAAATTAAGAATTTATAGGAGATAAAGCAATGAAATAAAAATTATTATTATTTTAAAAAACACGCAATTTTAAAGAAGTATCTATCTTTTTGCTCAAAAAAAAGGGTAGTATCTGTCTTAAGTTATAAAACAAATACACTATGACATGATTAAAGAAAAAAAAAGTTATGTAGCCCCAACCTCTTGGTGGACATGGTAGTCACTTATAACACCTTGATCAATGGACTATGCAAGTCAGGAAAAACAAGATCAGCCGTTAAATTGCTCCGGAATATGGAGGGATTGGGAATTAAGCCTGACACAATCATGTACAACACGATCATTGATGGGCCTCTGTAAAAGTGAACTTTTAATTGAGGCACGAGATTTGTATTATGAAATGCTTGATCAAGGAATATCTCCTGAAATTGTCACATATAACTCTCTAATCTATGGTTTTTACAGCATGAGTCAAGCTTTGCTTGGTAAGATGATGAAGTTTGATCAGAAACCTTATGTTAAGGTTTTCACTTCTTTGATGGATGGCTATTGCTTGACTAATAATGTTAATGAGGCAAGCAAAGTATTTGATAAGATGCTCAAAAGTGGGTTGGAACCTACAATTATTGCCTATAGCATCTTGATCAATGGGTATTGTAAGATTAAAAAGGTGGATAAAGCCATGAATCTTTTTAAAGAAATGCGGGTAGAAAATGTTGTACCTGATACTGTAATTTACAATACTCTAATTGATGGCTGTCTCAAATCAGGGAGAATTTCATATGTTTAAGATCTTATTTATATGATGCATGACAGTGATTGTCTCCCCAATATAATTACTTATAGTATCTTATTAGATGGATTGTGCAAAAGCCAACGACTTGACGAGGCAATTACATTATTGTCACAAATTTTCAATCATGGTATTTTGCCTGATGTGATCACGTGCGCTACACCAATTGATGGTTTGATCAAAGGCAGTAGACTAAATACTGCAGTAGATATTTTTCAATATTTGTTGGCCAAAGGTCTTCCTCTAAATGCTCATGCATATACTACTGTGATTGATGGACTTTGTAAAGAGGGTGTTTGATGAAGCACATGCGTTGCTTCATAAAATGGAAGAAAGAGGCTGCTCTCCTAGTTTTATAACTTACAAAGTAATTATTCGAGGCACTCTTGAAGGAGAAGAGATTGATAAGGCAGAACAACTTCTTCATGACATGATTGATAGAGGCTTGTTACGAAAATGAAGCAAGCTGAGGCACTATGGCTCAAGTTCAAATTGCATATTTATGTTGATCTAGCATGAATTTGCTGATGCATGAATATTTTGTGTTATAGAAGTTGGACTACACATGAATGGTTTGAGCTATTACTTCTTGAACCAATGCTCGTGATTAGATAATGAGTCTTAAATACATCCTAAGAAAACCGTGATTTTAAATTCTTTTATGTTATTACTATATATGCTGCTTTCACATATTAACTAAAAGTTGTTGGGTTATCAAAAATCTATAGACCCCATCTGGTTTTCGTCTTAGAACCCAAACAAAAAGAAGATAAATAGGAGCGAATGCACAGGGATTGGTTTTCAACATTTTATATATGTCGATCCTGTGGGCTCATCAGGAGGTTTGTGCTTGTAGTGGAAAGAAGTATCATCACTCTTTCTGGATCTCACTCTATCTCTTTCTTTGGACCTTCATGTTCTCCGTCACCACCATCACTTCTGTTCACTTTCCACCATGATCAAGTTTTGATCTAAGCTTGGTGTTGCCTCTCCTACAGTCATGTGTGGCTGATTCTTTCATCCTTCCTAAGATGTGGAGCTAAGCCAGATCCATTATGCCAACAAGGGAGTTCATCAATTTCTCATATATGTGATTAGCTTATCTCGTTGTATAAGCTATTCGTGATTATTGGATTAGATCTGGTTTGTATTCTTAAGGATATTGTATATTCAGATTAGAGATGTGATTGAACCGATGGTTTATTCCTTGACTTGCAGTAGATTTAATTGGATTATTAGGTCTTGCTTGCCTTGATGTTGCAATTGAATCAAATGAGATATGGTAGCTATAGATTGATGCTATTTTAGGAATTTTCAGTCCATCAATTCATAATGTGATGCATGTTTCCTTTTGAATGCATTTAGCTCCATTATTTTACGAGGTTATGAAGGTTGAGTCACACTCTTAGGAAGATCATTATCATCATTGCAATTATCATATCCTGTCATTCCCATCACCGTCACTCATCATTCATCTAAAACCAGAAAATCAATATAAAAAGTAGAACAGATAGGTAGATCACGTAGATAAAATCACTCCATTCTCACAGTTAGTCACTTGTAAAGGCATTTAATTAACTAAAATCCCAAGACAATTAGCCTCCTTGTGATCTGACCTAGGGTTAAGCTATTATATTATAGAGGTTAATTTTAGTATTTTTGAGAGCCCTATGACAAGTCTTATCAAACTGGCATCATTGCTGGGAGGCATGGTTGCTTAGCTTCTTTCATTGATCGAGTGTCAAATTTTTCTTTGACTTGTTCTATTGAATTTTTTAGTGCATTTGCTTAGGTTCTAGCTTCTGAATCTTGCTGAATTTGGTGGGCATTGAAAGATATTTTGCCTCTGGTTTGACTGTTCTTGACTGATTTCTCTTAAGGGATAAAAGTTGCTTGCTGGCAAGTAGATTTTAATCGTCCTATTTTTTGGTTTAGTGGCTGGCAGCCTATGTACATTGTGAATTCTGGAAAAATATAAATATTTTGTTGTGCATTCTGTTCATCCTGTTAGTGGAATTAGCTGGGATTTGTTATGCTCAGGTACAAAATTGCATTCTGGCCAGCATCTCGCACCATTGGGTGAAGATTTTCTGCTAAATATCACACTTGCACCAATTCTGAGAAAATAAAACGAAGAGTCCCTTGTCCCGATTACATTACTTCTGTGTCAACAGGGCAGATTATTTGCTATTTCAGCTCATTAACAGAATGAACCTGCTTTGGCGTGTTTTGTGTAATGTGCTGAATAATATTGCCTCGCATTCTGTGTGTTTGAAGATTAAACTTGCTGTGCTGGACCTTATTGCTACTATTACTGTCTGATTTTTGCTTCTTAACACTGTTTCTGGTAGTAAAACTCTGAATTGTGCACAAAGCCATACCATTTCTCTGTCTAAAAATCAAATAAAGCTTTCTGTTATTCACTGCAAGAAAAAATATATATTTTTGTGACTTGGGATCGACGTACTGTCTTGATTGACTTGGGATTGCACCCACAAGTTCTTGCTAAAATTGCATTTTCTTCTAACTTGACTGAATCCAGTGACTGGAGTTGCTAATACTTATTCGAAATACTGTAAACTTATTTAGTTCATTAAGGTAAGCTGAAAAAAATGCTTGTCGATTTCTCACCATTTTGAGTGTGCATTGCTGAAAATATTCAACCATTCGTTGTTAGATATTTTGCACAGTTTGCTGAAGGCTTCTTGAAATTGAGTTAATTACGTGCTGATGCATTAGCATAGATCTGATTCCTTGCTTGTATGCTGAACTTCTAGTGATCCCTTGACTTGGCATTGTTGAACTCTTGCTGCTGTTCTGAATTGCCAAAATGCTGCTGAATTATTGTTGAATTTTTGAAGTTCACTAATCTGACTGCAATTTTTACTGTCAAGTTCTGTGAAATTTCTGTCATTGACTTGCTGCACAGAACCAGAAAACCTAAGAGCTAAGAATTCTACTGGTTTTCTTGCTGTCATTACCCGAGTTCTGAAATTTTTTGACCTGCTGCTGTGTTTATGCATTAGTTTTAGTCCTCGAATTTTGGGAAAATCTGCTGTGTTTACGCTGAATTTTGCTACCAATTTGTTGCATGAATTTTGTGAGTTGAACTGGGCAATTTTCCAATTCAATTGAGTCATGGAATAGTGTTCGAATATTGAAAGATTCAATTCTTACTCCGCTATGCCTACTAATGGTTTTTTGGATTATGACACAGGAAGTAGAGGTTTTCAAGGAGGGAGAATGTGGACGCCAAGCTACTTTCATTTGCAACATGAAACCTCCTATCCTACAGCGCAAGAACCTGAGGAACCACAGTGCTTATATTGCAACTCATTTTGGCAAAGTGGAAAGGATTGCCCTCAAAAACCAAAAATACCTTCTCATTCCCCATTTAAGACCATTCAAGAGGAAAGGATGTGGGAGTCAACTCTCCCTCCCTTGCACCATATGGACCCCTCTCCTGCGTTTCAAGCAACCACGGAGTTAGCATGCCTACGCTGCCTCCCTACTGAACATTATGGATGGGATAAGATTGCCTCTTGAACGAGAGAATTTCACTTCAACGTTTGATAGACAAACAAAGGCATTGAAAGAACTTTATGATCAAAAGAAGGTGCGATGGCCGATGGGACAGATTGGGTGTTGAAATGGTGATGCTTGGGTGCCCTGAGAAGATACAAAAGGAGGCAAGAGAACTTGAATCTTTCTTCAGTAGATATGAGGATCATATATTATGGAGAACATCAACGGGCGAATTTGGAGCTCCATGACCCCAAGACTCATATGGAGAGCAAGAAAATTCACTACTGCCGCATGATGTGAATTCAATTAGAGAAATTCGTACTCTTTACGGACTTTGAAAGTGCAAAAATTGCACAGGAGGGCAGATTCGACCAAGAGCATTATGAAGGTTTGAAAAGAGATCATGGATGTTAGTGACAGAGAGAAAAGGGTAAATTCATTCCACGAAAAATCCAATCAAGGCATTACAGAGCATATAACACCCTCGCCACGTCCTGTCTGACATTCTCTCTCTATAACTAACTCTAGCAGCAATTTACCTTAAAGCCCTTTTCTAACTAATTACATATATCAATACTCCCCCCTATAAAGAATCCTTGTCCACAAGGATGGTGTTACTCGGTGATGCAGTAATCTGGAAGTGAGGGAACTGTTGCTGAATGAGTGAGAGGTCTTCCCAAGTTGCGTCTTTAGGCTAGGAAAATTTCCAACGAGCCAACACTTGAGTCACTGGGAGGTTATGACGTTTGATCAGTTTGCGCCCCAATATTTCCTCTAGTTCCAGCACAAAATGGCCCTCATTATCAACAGGTGGCAAGGTAAGAGCAAGTACCGCAGCTAGGCCAATATGTTTTTTTAAGTAAGGATACATGGAAAACAGGGTGAATCCTTGTACCCTGAGGCAGTTCAAGTTCATAGGCGACAGCGCCAAATCTTCTTCAGGACTTTATAAGAACCAAAATAATGGGCAGCTAATTTATGAAGAGATGAATTGTTTAATAAGTTCCTTCTAAAAGGATGTAGTTTGAGGTAAACCATATCACCTTCCACAAAATGACGTTTTGATCTAGCTTTATTAGCTTGCTGAATCATCATGTGTTGAGCTTGAAGTAAGTGTTGCTTCAGGAGCTGCAGAACCAATTCCCTTGATAAACAAGTACGGTCTACAAGGTCATTAGAAGAATCCCCAGCAATATAGGGTAAATGGACCGGAGGTGGCATCCCATACACAGTCTCAAAAGATAACATTCCAATAGAGGAATGATAGGTAGTATTATACCAGAGTTCAGCTAGAGACAACCATTTTACCCACTGCTTAGGAAAATCCCCAGTCATGCAACAGAGACAATACTCCAAACATCTGCTTAGTACTTCAGTTTGACCATCCGTCTGAGAATGGTAGGCAGAAGAATAATGCAATTTAACACCATATAAGCAGAAGAGTTCTCTCCAAAATTTATCACAGAAAACTAGGTCCCTGTCAGTCACAATAGTTTTTGGAAACCCATGTAATCTCACCACATTATCAAGAAAAACCTGAGCCACTTCTACAGCCGTAAACGGGTGTTTAAGAGCCATAAAATATGCTGCCTTAGATAATCGATCAACAACTACTAGAATAGTGGGTTTAGAAAAGGACTTAGGGAGACCACTAATAAAATCCATAGAAAGATCAATCCACACATTTTCTGGGATAGGCAGTGGTTGGAGCAGGCCAGGGGAGGCAATTAATTCAGGTGTGAGCCTTTGACAAATTGAACATTCACGTACAAAATTTCTGACATCCTTTTCCAAGCCTTTCCAATAAAAGAAAGAAGACAATCTTTTAAAAGTAGGATTCATACCAGAATGTCCACCAATGCTGTCAGCATGGGAAAATGACAATAAATCGTTGTGAAGATTACGATTAGCTCCTACAACTAGCTTGCCATTGCGTTCCAGCAATTGATGCTGCCATGTGAACTTAGGATGGGAAGTAGGATCCATTTCCAAATCCTTAATTAGCTGCTATAAGTGTTCATCAACTAGTGACGAATCTCGAACCCTTTCATATAGTGGAGAAACTGGAACTAATAATGCTAAACAAGAGCCCTCAGATCTCCTAGATAAGGTATCAGCCACTGTATTGTCACTGCCTTTTCTGTACTAAATGTCATAATTCAACCCCCACAATTTATGTAGCCATTTGAATTGGTCCTAGTTCAGATCGCACTGTTCCAATAGATGTTTCAAGGGTAGATGGTCAATTTTAATTATAAACTTGCGACTGCACAAGTAGGATATCCACTGCTTAACGGCAAAATAATAGCTAACAATTCATGTTCATAGGTAGATAGAGGTTTCTTTTTAGAAGCTAAAGCCTTGCTAGCGAAAGCTATGGGATGCCCATTTTGAGATAGGACAGCCCCTAATCCAGTACCAGAGGCATATGTTTCCACAACAAAAGTGTCATTAAAATTTGGTAATTTCAAAACTGGTGGGGAAGTCATGAGTTGCTTCAATTTGACAAAAGCATCATTCGCAGCATCTAACGAATTAAATGGAGTATCTGTCTGTAATAAGCTTGTCAAAGGTCTACTGATTGCTCCATAATTGTGAATAAACCTTCGGTAGTATCCTGTGAGGCCCAAAAAACCCCTTAGTTCTTTGATAGAAACCGGAACAAGCTAAGAAGAAATTGCTTTGAGCTTCTTTGGATCAGCCTGAACCCTTTTTGCTGAAATAATATGACCCAAATAGTCAATTTGGGTGGCAGCAAAAATGCATTTGGAAGCTTTAGCAAATAAATGATGTTGTCGCAATGTCAATAAGGCAATTTCCAAATGTTGTAAGTGAGGGCCCTAATCTTTGCTATATACTAATATGTCATCAAAGAAAATTAATACAAACCTCCTCAAGAAAGCTTTGAAGACAAAGTTCATAAGTCCCTGGAATGTGGCAGGGGCATTAGTCAGCCCAAAGGGCATCACTACAAACTCATAGAGACCCTCATGGGTCCTGAATGCTGTTTTGGGAATATCATCTTGCTTCATTCTAATTTGATGGTAACCAGACCTAAGGTCTAGCTTAGAAAAGAACATAGCCCCTGTTAACTCCTCCAGAAGCTCTACAATCACTGGTATGGGAAATTTATTTTTGATTGTAGCTTCATTTAACTTCCTATAATCCACACAGAACCACCAAGTACCCTCTTTCTTCTGAACTAACACTACTGGGGCCTCAAAAGAGCTAGTACTCTCTCGTATGATCCCACTACAGAGCATCTCCTTCCCCTGTTGTTCAATCTTAGTCTTCTGAACTGGACCATAACAGTATGGCCGACAACTAATAGGCTAATCATGTTGAAGCGGAATGGCATGATCAAATGCACGAGAAGGAGGTAATTCCTTAGGCTCCACAAAAACATTAGTAAATGTGTTTAAGAGCTGATTCAACTCTTGTTGCGGGGAGCTAGCCAACGAAGAAGTAACATGCAAGCTGAGTTATAATTGAGATGAAGCTTGAAGCAGGAAGACATGTACAGAAGCCACTATATCACGATTAGATGTGAGTTCCCTTGCAGGGGAAGGTGAGTGGTATCCCAACCCATGCAATTCAACTTGAGTGCCCTTATAGTTGAACTCAAAAATTTTCAATTCCACATCCATAGTAAATCTACCAATAGTTGTCAACCATTATGTACCCAGAATCATATTGTAACTCCCTATCCTCATCACCAAAAAGTCAGCTGAGAAAACAGAGTTTCCCATTTCCCAAGAAAGATTCGGGCAATGCTTAAGAGACTATTACCTTCCAGGTATCTGCCACCGTGAGACAGACAGCACTGCGTTCCTAGGCTTTCGACTGGAGACGCTTGATGATTGAAGCATCGAGCACATTGTGAGTGCTGCCCATGTCGATCAGAATGATAACCTTCTGGTTTTTAATCTAACCCACAAGTTTCATAGTAGATTCGACAACGTTAATCATGCCCACAGCGTCAACTTGAGCATCCCCTATCGCATCCTCAAAGCAGTCTTCCTCTTCATCAACCATTAGTGTAAACAGATGAGAATCCTTACACTTATGGCTACTGGTGTAATTCTCAGGGCACCAATAGCAAAGACCTTTTATACACCAGTCGTCCATCTCCTTTTTCGACAACTGACGTGTGGGTTTAATAGCAAAAGACATCTGGGAAGACGACACTGTGGAGGAGTTTGCAGGTTTTGCCGATAGCCCCTGTGTCTGCGTTTTGGGCCTGTCCTGTATAGAGAAGTTCATAAACGTACTAGACTTGGAGCCCACCGAGTAGCTAGACCCAGAACGACGAGTCATCGCAGGAGAATGATCATGGACCGCCTGAATGCTTGCTGCATGTAGCCGAGCAGAAGACATCGCGCCAGCTAAAGAAGAGGGCGCTGAGTTGAGGATGAATTTTTGTATGTCAATATGTAGTCCCCCAGTGAAGAGATAGATAGATAGATAGATACCTCTTCAGGAATATCGACTTCAGATAAAAGCTCGTCAAATTTTTTCTCATAGTCAGCAATCGGATCAATGGATTGTTGTAGCTTCTTTAGGGCAATCGTCAGGTTCTCCTCCCTTACGTCTACAAACTTGGTTTCCATATTCTTGAAATAGTCAGCCCATGAGATATCTGTGAAGGAGCGATGGCGCATGAACGTCTGGTGCCAACGCAGAGCATCACCCTCAAGATGAATACTCAGAAGACGAATACGATGATCTGGCGGGGTCCCATCCACAGCAAAAAACTGGCAAACCGGATAAGCCCACCCACAGAAATCAGTGCCATCAAACTTGGGAAAATCTACTCAGCTCTGCTTGGTAGCTATGGAATAAGAAGATGAAGACGAGTTGTTGTAGTGGAGCTCATGAAAAGAGCCAAAGGCAAGAATACGAGGGGAGCTTGCAGGACCACTTTCCCCTAACGTCGTCTGCTTGCTCGCATTCTGGTTCATAGTAGAAAGCTTTGAAGAAATGTCTTGTAGCATGACCTTCAAATCATAAATGTCTTGCGATTGTTGGTCAAGGACCAATTGCTTCTTGTTGAGACAGTGCTCTGGCTCAGTAAGACGATCAGAGGATCGCGTTTCCGGTGGCGCTATGGGCCGAAAACGGAGGCTCCGATACCTTTTTGTTAGTGACAGAGAGAAAAGGGTATATTCATTCCACGAAAAATCCAATCAAGGCATTACAGAGCATATAACACCCTCGCCACATCCTATTCGACATTCTCTCTCTATAACTAACTCTAGCAGCAATTTACTTTAAAGCCCTTTTCTAACTAATTACATATATCAATGGAGCTGAAACACATACTGGAAGTACCGATGTTGAGAATTACTTGCTGAATCAAGAAGGAATTAATGCTGGAGAACTGATTTTGCCGATTGAATCTCACTCTAGTGATGAAGTTGGAAGCGAATTGCTGCAGTTGAAGGAGTCAAACAAAGCAATCGAGGATGGGATACAACTAACAGATGCTGCTGGAAGTTCTGGAGAATTGAAAGAATTAGCCACTGTACCTGAGATCGAATCTGAATTTGATCAACTGGACCCACAACTGCAGAACAAGATTCAGGCTTGCATTTTGCGGACAAAAAAGAACTTTGAGCTTCCTTGAGCTTCAAAAATTCATTCCCCTCTTTAAATTGCAATCTTATTTAATTAATTTTCTGGGTCTTGTTTGCTTTGCGTATTAACTCCATGCAATTTGGAAATGTTGAGGCCTAAAGTTTCTTGTACTCATTTATATATGATATTTTACATTGCTGCATTTAGATGGCTAGTTAGAATCCATCTATTTGCATTTAGTGGCCGTAATTAAAATATTTTAAAATCTTAAAATAAATATTTACAACCTGAAAATATGAATTATTTATTTAAAGGTTGCTTATATTGTAATTTAACATATTTTATTGAAATATAATTTTATTTTGAAGGTTTTAGTTAAATTATAAATTTTAAACGCTGTAAAATTATTGATTTGTTTTTTGTTCCAAAAAATGATTATAAGAGATGAGGGGCTTTTTGAGAGGTAATGTAATCAGTTTTGCTTTCTACTTAAAAAAAGGTATTTTGATCATTTAACAATATTCAGAAATTTTTAATTGGGCCTTGTGGCTTATTAATAATTTGTTAAAAATTTAAGCTTGAAATTGAAAACAATTAAATAGGTAGGAAAGAAGTAATATGAATTCATAATTTCATTTTGAATAGGTTAGGCAATATCAGATTTAACCTCAGCTATATTCAACTATATTTTTTTACCTTTAGCTTGGTTTAATTAAATAAATAGAGCCAAACTTTCGAATATCAGCATTATAAACAATGTTCTCATAATAAAAGCGATGCAAAAGGGTAAAAGGGAAGAAAGAGTAGAGAGAAAGAGTGGGGGGAAGGAGGGGGAGGAGACTGGGAGAATAGATTATTAGGGACAGAGAAAAAGAAAGAGTAAAATGATAATTAATTCAATTTATTCAACGGCCTACTAAACAAATGCATTAAGATGCTATTTAATAAAAATCTGGAATTAAATGCAAATAACAATTAATTATAGAGAAACCTCCCTGGCATTTTGCTCTAATTACATTGATTTCCCTATATTTTGAAAACATACACTTAAGTCCAAACCAATAACTCCGTTAAGAATATTCTAAAAAGATACTTTTTTAATTAAAATTTATATTAAGATACTTTTTATTTACTAATTTACCTTTCATAACACTAAATCCCCAAATTTTGGTTAAAAAGTTTTGACAAATTTAAAATTTTTTTATTCCCTTAATTTTTTTTTCACCAATAACTATTTGTTTAGTGTTTTTATCATATTGGGATGAAAAATTAGTTAATTTATTTAATTTAGACATAAAGGCCTTGAATGGAAATTTGATTAATTCTTTAAATGAATATACAATAGATTAAATACATTATAAACGTTTCTAACAAATTTTTTATTTCAAACTTTGGAATTATAAATTTAAATGAGTTCTATAGTCTTTAAACATAGACAATTTATATTACTCATTCAGTTCTTAATGTAAGATCCATTTAACTAATTTGATTAGATTAAGGAAGTTAAGTAAGTTAATTAATTATAAGAAAAGTGACATATTTTTTCTAAAACACCATAGTTATTTTTCTTAATATCTCCACTCCCTCTTCTACTTGTTTATAGTTGAGAGAGTGTCTATAAGGGTAATTTAAAGAAAATTGATAAATATGATATATAAGTCTTATATTTAAGACTAAAACCAACTCAAGAATTAAATCCTATATTAAGGACCGAAAGAGTATATGATGAAAAAAATATTTATTTAATATATTGTTTAGCCATTTAAAAATAAAAAATTAAAATTATCAAATTTTATAATATAATCAAAATTAATATATTTTATTTTATATTAAAAATTTAAAAATACATGTATTAAAAAAAATTTTGTTGTATTAAAAATTATTTTTTTAACAAATATAAAAGTTTAAATAACTTCAATATTAATGAGAGGTATTTTGATCCAAATAAAAATTTAAAAGTCAAATTTAACAGTTACCTAACAGTTAAATAAATAAAAATAGAATCTCCAATATACAATACAAATTTGTGACATATTTTAATTTTAATAAAAATTTACGCACATTTTCATAATAAAAAAAATCTATATTTTAGGTAAAATAGATTTTCAATTAGAATAATTTTACTCTTAATCGTATACTTCTTTGTTACAAAAACAATGCTCATCATCCCAGACACTGTCAGTAGGTCCGTGAATATTTAGAACCTGAAAGTTCTTGGAATTCTTTGCCAACTTAACCGTGAAAGTTTTTGGAACTCTTTGCCAACTTAACCGATCATATTTGATATTCCAAAAACCACAGTACACACACAATAACTTGCACTCAACTAATTTCAGTGAGAAATTTGAATACAAGACTAACTTATATAAGCAAGGAAGACTTCCCATAAATCAATCCGATTTAAAATAAATATTTTTCCCCCAAAAAACCGCCTGAGTTATAATTTTTAATTTTAAAAACTTACTCAAAAACACTTATTTCAGAATGGAAAATAATGACATCCTAAAAACACAGTATTACTGAAAAATTCATTTTAAAATACACTTAAAAGACCATGCAGCTTACATGAGTGAAAAAAAAGGAACAACACGAATTATTTTAAATTTGACAATGAATTATACTGCACAAGATCACTCAAACTGGTCAAAAACCATATGAATAATCTATCAACTCTGTAATTCGATAGTAATTTCGAGTTGAAAGCCCAATGATCAAGAGGCGCGATTACAATAAAGAGCATAAATCCAGAGCGTTAAAAGCCTGCAATCCACAACATGGACTAAGTTCATATTTATTTACAAACCTGAAAGATCCATGTATACTCTGTTTAGCTTTTATTGTTGCAAATGACCTTTAGCTAAACAGGTTTCAAAAGAGGGTATATTTGGATTGAGAAAAAAATGACTTGAAGGAATAGATAGTTTGGATATAAGTCAACCCTATCCCTTCTTTCCTCAATCCATATATACCCTTTAAAAGTCTTGGTAATGCTGCTTCAGGATGTTTCGTTTTCATCATCCTTATCCTTCACTTTGCTCGACCTCTCCTGCCTGTGTAGTTTTTCGTTTCTTTCCTTCTGTACTATCTGTGCCTGGGACAGGGAAAAAGAAACAGACATATCACCTTCATGCACATCAGAATCTTGTCCCATTATAGCCAATACCCAGAAATGGCAAGTTCAAAAAAGTTATTTAAAATTTTAAAGGGCTAACGGCTTTGTTGCCTAGTGGTATGGAAGCTCCCTGTGAGGGAGAGGCTGTGGTTCGGTCTCACTTGTAACTTCAGGCCATTAATATCCATCCCTTTAATTCAAAAGCCAAAGAATTAAAGGGGAAAAAGTTCTCATTCCAACGGTGCCGCTGCTCACTTTCAGTTCCCCAAATTTATGCATGACTACTTTGTACACTAGAATTATGAGCTCGAGGAGAGCCATTTTCAGACAACGCATCAAGCAATTGGAATAATGAATTTCAAAGGAACAAGGGAAAAAAGATTGAGTTGAACAATGCTTTGCATTTCACTATCACTGAGAGCAAAGGGTGCACTCTTAGATTCCAATCCACGGACAGGCCTCTATGATCATCCAACATAATCAGTCGCGCATCTATATAAGTTTGGAACTCTGCTGAGAACCCAGAACTCATCCCCATGGAAGAAGTAAACAACTAAACCAAAAATATAGAAAGTAATATCTAGATATTCTTTCATGTTCGTAAATTGTTTCAGTATGATAACTGTTCATCACAGAACCGAGGCTCCACAGATGCAAAAATTGAAGGGCAAAGGGATTGAAGGAAACCTCCATCAGATACTGAAATTATTACCTTGAGAATAATGAATATAAAAAACTTTTAACGCCACACCAGAAAGCGAATGAAGGTCACGAACATCTTCTAAGCTGAATCTTCTCACCAGTTCAACTGAGAAGTAATGCTTTTCTCAACAGGATGATATTCTGTGTGCATGTGTTTCCTAGCTTTTTCAGACCCAGGCTGCTCAAGCCACTTGTCATATAAACTTCTCACAATACTATTGTTAAAGGGATCTGCTACCAAAACCTAGCAAATTGACGAACACTAATTTCAGAATATTTTCCAGAAATATAGTTCATAAACAAATACGACTTTGAGCTTTCACCTTTCCCAACGACCCACCTCAACCAAAACAAAAAGAAAGAACAAATAAAAACATTTGAAAATTAGCTTATCTGAAGGGGTTCATTAACTATAAGTATGGTTGAATTAGGTTTCACCTTCCACATAAAATACCAATGTCATTTTTGAATATCTATGTTTCCTTCTAGAAGAATGATAATGCATGATGTACATATATTTATTTTAAAAAGAAACAAAACTTTCAGAAGGGTCAGACTGACAAAGATGACAAGAATCTGAACCATAAATTTATATGCTCGGAGATCCTGGAACATCCGGCATGCATGCATGTATATGCATGTCTACTATTCAAAATAAGTGCAACCATGAAGTAATGGCCAGTCAGATAAAACTTACATTTTCCATGTATGCAGCTTCCAATAATTGACTCAACTCTTTCAGAGATTGACCTGGCTTAGGTTTGATCTGACCTCCACCATTCAAGCAACCTGGTTCAATTCATCATAGTTAAATACGCATCCAATTTCCTAGCCTAGCAACAACATATCAATTGAAGCATATGGAATTTATAATAAAAGAGAGACCGTGACCTGAAGGGCATGCCATGATCTCCAAGAAATGGTAATCACATTTCCCACTCTTAACCTTTCTAACAATATTTTGCAGGTTTCGGAAACCATAACATAGAGCAAATTTCAACACTGTTTTTCCCTCCACCTGCATAGACAATAAGACAAAATACTGCATTACTATTATGAGCCAGAGAAATAAACTGGAGCTTAAAAAAGCCTGCAGAAACTGTTTAACAATTGTGTCATCAAGAACAATGTGGCTAAGGCACAGGACAGTTTCAGGTTACCATAGCAACTTTCTGTTAAGGATAAGTACTGGATCCTGAAAATACTTTAATGTTTTTGCTGTATAATTACTTGGCACTTCCATAACCATAACCAGACATTTGTAGATATTGGGTTCAAACAACCACCTTACAAGGAATAGACACATATACAAGTAATGTGAATAAGTTTACAAGAACTTGCCTCCAGAGCAACTTCCTGGAAATCTGAATTCCTAATATTTTTGAAGTTTAGGGGACCATCAATTTGTCTCCCAAATAGTGTTTTTGCTGCATATCGGAAAACTGTTTCTGCATAACCCCCCGAGCTTCCACAGACCCCATAAAGATCTCCTTCTTCATTAACATTAGTCAGCCTGTAAGCGGCAGCATGTATGTAAATACTAATGTTAGACAATTGACAAACTTTGAAAATCAACTAGAATCAGGTTCATACAGTGTATCCAGAGGGGACTCTTCCAAACTTCTGAAATCAACTTCTTTTAGCTGTAAGATTGGATCGTTACAGGTATTAATACTGATAACGTGAGCTAAAAGGAAGATCGCATCAAAATGAGAACGAAGAAACTTCTCACCTGAATTAATTCCAAAACCTCTCCAGTTGTCAATACTGAATCTACCTCTGGAATTCTATTAAACTCGCTCTGGTCTCCATTTTCATGGGACTCCAGGTCAAAGACAAAGTCATCCCTAGCAGCCTCCAGCTTTTTATCATAACAGGGCATTACAGTAACATGGTAAACTTCCTCAGGCCTGCCAGACAATTAACCAAACATTTTTTTGGTATTAATTAACTAAACATTTCATTAAGCCAACATAAATTAAACAAAAAATTAGCCTATCATCTCGAGCATACAAAACAAAATTGATCATACATAGTGAATTTCCAAAACTTTACAGTAGATAAAAAAGACAGTCCAATCATAGTATAACTCAAACCTATGTGGGCAGCAAATATATAATTGAAATGGACAGACTACCTAAATCCCATATCTTGGCATGCATGGTGCTTTATGATAGCTCCAGCTGTTTGCTGAGGACTCTTCACAGTTGAAATATAAGGTAGAACAAATGATCCAAGTTGCTTTTCAGCATAGCATATCCAACCTATAAAAAAATGGCTTTTGTCAATAAAAACTGTTCAGCAATTTCTCCATCCCATTCTTGACCCCTTGCCCAACTCTATCCCACATACTGCATGGTAAATTTAAGCTCCCTCAACCCCCTCATCCCTCTATCAGTGTGCATGCAACACCCAAAAACACCAGCAACTGAGCACACAAATCCTGCGCATTTCAGGAATTCAGTGGTCCATACCACACTCTGAAACCCCAAATGGCGTTTCCTATTAGATTAAGGGGGTGTTTGGCATGTCCCAAAAGCACTTTAAAAAAGTACTTTCACGTAAATCGAGACAAAACTTCTCTTACGTGCTTACCTCGAACTCCATGAAATCATTTCTAAAACCGTAGTTTTGCTTTCACCTAAACACCCCCAAGAAAATTTTTGAAGCATTCTAACATTTCTTGAACACTTTCCTAACATGTTAGAACACGTGATGAATACATCTTAAGCACGTTACATTTATTCGTTGATGCATCTAACTGTTATTGTAATCAATATATAGATGTAAAAACATACCTGGGCAAGCTGATGCAATCATCGGTAGGCCCAACTTAGAACTCCCATCATCGATTAATTGGTTCTGTTTATACCTTGAGATGAACTCATTACAAGACTCAATAAGCGTTAGGTCTCTACTGCAACTTGTATCAAAAATTGCCTTCACTCCCAAGGATTTAAAAAATCTTGTCAGCCTTTTGAAAACCTGACAAGCAAAAATTTCATTCGCAAACTGATTGGGAAAGAGACGATGAACGCAACAAATATATTCCAAATTTAATCACGATGACAAAAGACAATATTCTATAAGTAACCTGTAGTGGAGAAATGCCAAAATGAACCGCAAGTGAAGCCCTTGACTGGGGAGAGAGAGACACAATTACAGCCTTTCCTTTATTGATATTGGAGAGGAACTCATCCAAACTCTGTTTCTCTAGCATCACAGTCTCCGCCGATGTCACACACCCACTGGGTTGTCAAAAGATTTATCATGCTTCCAATTGGAACATGTACTATAATAAAATTAGAAAGCTTCCTTTACATCAATCTTATACATTTTTGCAACTTGAAATTAAAAAATTTCACCATTTTGATTCCAATTACCCAATAGGGTTCTAGGATTATCAATTCTATAGGGTTTGTAACATAAGACTTTGAATTGCAAAGCTACAAAGTATATCACTAAAATCAATCTCCCCCCTCATAAAGGAATATTTATAATTTTCTCTCTTTTAAAATTGTCTAATCAATTTAATCCCTTGCATATAATATCCTTATATATCAATGTACTACCTATGAAACTTATAGTTGATCTTCTCTCACTCTATATAATAAATAATTAGTGACAAAGCATCATTACATTGTTAATTGCATTTATATTTATGAAACCAAATTAAGAAATATCAATGCGGGCAAAAACAAATTTACATCACAATTCTATGAAGGCACAAAAACTACTCTTTCTGTGCGGGGCTAAATTGATCAGATAAATTTATCAAGAATCAATTTGAGAAGAATCCCCTTAGCAAGGCATCTGCAACCACTGCCAAAAGGATTAAGCCCAAGCAAAATCGGACACATCAAAGCTGTCACAAGAAATCATTATTCAACAATCCAACAAGGCAACAGCTTTCAAAAATAATAACATAAAACCAATAAAAAGAGCTCATTCACGGATTCCAACTCGAATTACAACAACCCCTATGACGCAGAGAGAGTATGAAGACTCACCTGCATGCTAAACAGTCCTTGAGAGAAATCTTAACAGGTTCTGGTTGTGATTGCTTTTTGGCAGTTGAAACCTTCAGTGATATTTACATGAAACACGTCAAGTTAATGCTATCTATTCCCAATTTATTTCTGCTAACTACTGAATATAATATAGAAAAAATTCAAAAATTTATCCAATTTTAAATTTTAAATAACACTATACCATCAATTCAGAAAGAATTACATATCACCACCCATGGATAGCATATTCTTTTCACACATTTGGAGGGTTGCTCAAAGGTTAAAACAAAAAAGACATTTAATTCACGAGCAAGCCTAACCAAGTAACCAACATAACTTCATCCAAATGTTAATGGAACATTGAAACCAAAACAAATACCTCAACCTTGTCAGGCTTCGTAGTGTTAGACTTTAATCCCTTCAGAGAGACTATGCATGCTTGGGATGGCGCAATGAAATCATTGAGATCTCCAATGCGAAGAGCTGGTGAGAATTTCTGTGACATCTCCCACTCTTGCCCTTCATGTCCAATCAACAAACAATTCAATTTAGCAAATAGAACCAAAGCTAGCAATACAAATGGTTGAATCAACAACAAATTAGACAATGATGTTAAAAGAATAATGAAAAATCAGGGTTTGGGAGGAAATAAGACAAACAACTAGGAGGATTAGCAGGAGCCTAAGAAGTGTAGGTCAAAGAGAGCTTAATGTCTCTAGAAGTCAAGAGGCTGCTCCGTTTTCTTTATATGTAAAGGAAGAATTTTGGAATATTTATAATAACCTAAGTTGTTTTAAAGAAATAAATAAATAATATTTAATATACTTAATACTATACATAAACACATAACAATGAATATGCGTTCAGCGGTCAGCAGTCAGCACCTCTCCAGGTGCAAATCTTGTCTATGCATTTTGTTCAATGTAATCTAATGGCAGATTTATACTTATCCAAAGCTAGGAGCACAAACAGTTGAATTGACAATAAACTAGACAATGATGTTAAAAGAATAATGAGAAGTTATGCTTTTTTGAAGGGGGGGAAGAGGACAAAACGATGAAACACTGGGAAAAAGAAATACAAAAGCAATTATGATTTAATGCATTACAAAGTAAGCAAGAGATAAATAAATCTATCACATACATTTGCATATTATACACTCGCAATTACCATCCTATGCTACACAAAAATCAGAAAATCATATGGCATGCCACTACTCTATCAAAACAGACTATATTTTGATGTTGGTTTGTCAAATGACGCTTCAAACGAAATTCTTGCTCATATGGCATCTAAAGATAAGGAAGCACCCCGAAAACACAAGCATCCAGCTCCAAATATATATCCCCAATTCCAAGTCACTACAAATATTTCATGTTGCTACAAAGCTTTAACCTCCTTTGCTCCATCTCGACCAAATATTCCAAGTAACAAGAAATACAAAATCCTTCTCATACGAATTATAATGTTTAAAATTGTTAACAATTCAAAGAAACAGGAGAATATAATACTACACTTGTTCATGCAAGATATTAATATCACAAAATCTTAAAAGAGCCTTTTCTATCAGGTGTTCAAGGCATGTTGGAGCATATAGAAAACCATAGCAGCCTTCTCTTAATACTCTAAGCTTGACAGATCAAATCTTTCTCCACAAATATATTGATATACAAAATACGGATATGAATTCTTCAAAAGGGTTGTTTGTTGACTCAGATGACATGGTCTTAGGACAAAGTACTTTCTTCCAATTTTCTAGGTAGGTGGAAGAGTGAAAAATTGATGACTGACTAGCTCCAGATTATTAATTTAAATACACTCGGGAAGTTTTACTAACGGAGAAAATCTCCTCCCAAATAAAGAGTCCAACCTGTTCTCTTTATAAAAGAAGAGTATGAATCAATTAAGTAGACATTAAAACAAAACAAAAACAAGCTAACATACCCGAACAATATCATCCAAAACACACAGCAAAATAAACTTTTTTTTTCATAACGTACTCTATTTTTCCCATACATCCATTTCGGTTGGATTTTCAATGAAAACATTTCTATTGAATCTTGAAGGTATGCTTCTAAGCTGTGAATTGTAAAGCATATCATCATGAGATTCAAAAATAAATTTAAGCATCTGACTTCAGACAAACACGCAAGAGGCGAGAGCATATTGATTCAGACACTTCTTCACAGCTCTCTCAAACAGAGCACCGCAACCGTTCAGAAACAGAGAGGCGGAGGAAGAGGGAAAAGTGAAAGCCGCACCTGCTTGCCGTCGAGGCTGAGACAGAGTGAGGACCGAGAACTGAGGGAGACGACGTTCAGCTCTGAACAAGGAGTCGTCGTCAGCGTCGAGGGAGGATAAGGGTTCGGGGAACAGCGGAAGGATTGCAATAGGACTGGTCTCTCGTCTCTCGTCGGTGTCGAGGAACAGATGAAGGATTGGAAGAGGATTGGCTTTCAATTCTCGTCTCTCGTCGGCGTCGAGGTCTGGTCTGGTCTCGTCAACGTCGGCGTGAGGCTGAGGCGTGAACACTTGGCAGGATTGAGGGAGGAGCCGAGGAGCCGAGGAGGGAGGTTAGGGATTCGAGTCTCTCGACAGAGGAAAGGAAGTGGGAAACCGGGAAAGCTCTGGTAATTTAATTTTCAATAATTTGAAGTGAAAAAGGGCAGCCGGGATGGGAGGGTGTAGGTATGATTTTTTATTTTAAAATCCTTAAATATTTTTTAATTTAAAAATCCTAAATCAGCTATTTCACAAAAATATCTTGTTAATTGAAGTGCAGCAAATATTTTTTATTTAGAATTTTAAAATGGGAAAACTAAACCCTACGTCCTTATAATTATAGTGAGTTTTGAATTAGGTCCTTACATTATTTTTTCTATGTGTGTTGGATATGGGGCATCATGGGCAAGTAGGTGCTTTGTACCCAAATCAATGATGGTGAACGAGAGGACGACTTTGATTGCTTTTGTGAGGAACAAAATATTTCAACATTGTAAGGCAATAAAAATGCAAAACCAATATTCACAATGAATATATTAAAGTGAAAAATTAATATTTTTACCTCTACTATTCGTAATATATTAAAAAAGACTATGCCACAACATTGTTTTATTTGCTCTATTTTTTGCCTCAAAAACAGGGACGTACAGAGTTGTGGCTTGGCATTACTATAGTTGAATGTTATGAAATTCACCTAGTCTATGAAGAGACCGGTACCTCGATGATGCTGTTAAGTTATTAGAGACCAGAATTTTTGTACTGCTTATGAGTTGAAGATTTTGATTAACGGTTATTTGTCTCCCTCATTTTTCCTTGTTATTTTGTTTACAAACCTTTTATATCAATACAGGTAGAATTAGAATGGAAAAAACTCTCACTTGTTGGTAGCTGGTACGCAAATTTCATTAATTAGGTAATAACTTAACCATGGTGTCAATTAGAAAATTGAAACTTTTATTTTGTTTTGGCCTATTAATTTACCCAAGATGGATTTCTCCTATTTCGCTTTATCCCAAAAAAATGAAAAAGAAACCTGTATCTGCATACAAAAGCCTGTAATGGCAAATCTTATTAATATTTTGGTGCATGTAGGCAGGGACTTCATAAAACTGAAATATGTTGATTTTTCAACATCCTATTTCATCACTAGATAAGACGAGAGTGAACTAGCCTCTGTTTCAAATGAATAGCTGGGAGAGATTAGTGACCTAGTTGGTGACAGAGACATCGAGATGCTCTTCAATGAGACAACCGATCAATGAACGATCATCCGCTTTAGCAAGTTAACATTGTTATGTCCTTTTGACATTTTTGAAGACGGAAGGATCAATGTGACTAACGGCTAAAATTATAAGGAGTGCTTAAAAGGAAAAAAATAGCGTAAAGACCTAATTCAAAACTCACTATAAAATAAGGACTTGGGGTTTAATTTTCCCTTTTAAAATTCATCATCTATTAAAAGACTTACATGTGCAACTCCCATGTATTGAATATTGCTTGTGGAATATGTGAAAACTAACTCCCTCACTTTTCAAAAGAATTAATATAATATTTATTTTTTTTAAATTTTAAACCATAAGTTTTAGTCTCTTAAAAATAAAATGATCTAAATTTTTATTGAATAATGAGAACTAATGTTTTAAATAAAAAGAATTTGAAGGACCAAAATCTATAATTTAAAACTCGAGGAATCAAAACCAAAATAAGAATAAACTTAAAACTAAAAAGACTACAAATTATATTAACATTTTCAAGTTGATATAATTTTTTAGTCCTTCAAGTTTATTCTCATTTAAGTTTTAGTCCCTCAAATTTTAAATCATTGGTAGTTTCTTTTCATTTAAAACATTGGCTCCTATAATTTAATAAAAATATAGACTATTCTGTCCATAGAGGGATCAAAACCTATGGTTTGAAATTTAATAAAATCAAAATGAGAACAAATTTAAGAAACTAAAAATTACATTAACTTTTTTCAAAATATTGAAAAACATTCCAGTTTTTCCTCTCCGGTCCTCTCTTGCAGAGAAGACAGTGCATCTAGTGAAAACTCTCACGTGCCTCTTTCCATGTGATTGAGGGAAAACAAATTTATGGTAATTGAAGATATGTTCTCGTTTGAAAGCTTACTCTAGCATCAAAGCACGGTTTCTTGTGGCTTGCATGGTAGCATCTTCTCCCCATTCTGTGACTGAGACATGATTTGCCTTAAATCACGTTTTATACATGCTTGCATTATAGCATCTCTTGCTCGGTGGGTAGGCAATTATTTATCCTTATTCAATTCTTGGCAGCACGTGGCTATAATGAGCGCAAAAAGGAGAGTACAGCGTATATATACACACTACTCCCTATTCTTACTATAAAGCCAGTTAATTAATTTGAAGATATTAAAAAAGTTACTAAAAACTCATTTAGAATGATTTACAAACAGTTTTTTTTATCATGATTTATAAAATACAAAATAATTATGTTAAAAGAATTTTGTCTTGACTTACATATATAAAACGTGCTTATAAATAATTTAAAAAATAATCCAAAGAGTGCCTTGATTCCTTAAGGAACAAAGTACTTAAATATCAGAGTATCTAGCACCTAGAAGTTTTTTTCCCCTCTTTTATTCCCTGAAAGTTTTATTTCATAATATTTTTGCCCTAAAAGTGATTTCCACTGTTAAGTTTAACTATTAAAAAAATCGGTCAAACTGCATAATTTAACGGTTAAACTTAACGGTGGATAATAGACAGGGTATTTTTGCTTTAAAAAAAAAACTCCTAGGGCATATAAGAGGAACAAAAACTTTCAGGTATTGGGTCTCTTTCGTGAATACTTTTAAGATATTTTAAGCATCTTGTTCCAGTACTTAATTATAATATATGTTACATAATCTTTCTAAAATACTTACATAGGTTATTATATTATATATCAATTTATAAATTATGCAAATTAATTTGCAGAAAATAATAAGTATAAATTTTTTAAAGTAATTTGATAACTTTCTTAATTTTTCTAAATTAGTTAACCAGATCTTTTATTAAGAGTCATAGGTACTATATGATCTTTGACCAAAAGAATAAAATAATATATATACATTAATAAAATAAGTTATTTTTAGCCAATGATCTTCAATTTACTTGGTCTTTATATATTTACCTCCCTATAGGCTGTAGATATGCTTTACTTTTAAATATGTATTAACTGTTGGGATAACATTAATCGCTGGTCTCTCGTTAAAAGGGTACTTTGATTCCAAATAAACTTAAAAAGATACCTTCACATAAGGGAAGACAAATTATTTTCGTGAGACAAATTATTTTCATATAGAACTCTGTAAAGTCAATTTTAAGAAGCTAATCACTGATTAAATCCAGTTTCATTTCCCATTCTAATTTCACATACTTTAGTTATCAGATACTACTCCATCTTTTTTCCTTACAACTCTATACTCTCTTTTCATGTGAATTCAGTGTTCGAGTTTCAGCAGTATCTTTTTTCCAACTCTGGCAAAGCAGAGTGCACTTGGCTTTTGGTGTAAGTTGTTTCTAGTTGGTTTTTAGAATTTAGGGAGTGTTTAGATAGAATCAAATTATAGTTTGGAAAATATATTTTGAAAAAATGGATTTTGATAACATATTTTGAAAAAGTGATTTTGATAAAGTGAAAATTATCAGAATCTTTTTTTTTTTTTCATATGCAATTACTTAAAAAGACATAAGTTAATATGATAATTAGATAAAAGATAGATTTTAATTTATATTTTTGTTTGAAGTAATAAATCTGTAAACTATAAATAATATATGAAAAAAATATAAGTAATTGAAATTATCTCATGTCCTTAGTATAAGAGCAAATTGGGTATTTAATTTGATTTTGAATATAAAACATCAATCTATCTTGTGTCACACATTTATTCATTTTTTTTTCTAAAGTAGTCCTAATGTTAATTTCCACATATTAAATATTCTATCAAATAATAATTCCAATACACATCATTAACAAGTATTTTAGAGAATGCGACACATAATTATTATAAATAAATAATTTAACTAATTTTTTTAATATTAACAAATTAGTTATTTAGCTTTTATATGGAAAATCAAAGGTAGTAATTAAAATGTATATATATTTTTATATCTCAAAGTAAGGTTTTATAGCTTCAAAAGCAAAAAGAAATTCACTTTGTGAGAAACCATGGTTTTGTACCTAAAACTATAGTTTTTAAATTAAAAATGATTTTGCAAAAAATTATGGTGATTTGTTACTCAAAAGTGATTATTCAAACCATAGTTTCAAATTTAAAAATGATTTTGAGAAAATACGTAATGTTGGGACGGTTTTTTCTCCAAATCAAGGTTTTTGTTGACCACATGCATTGTGACGCCCGAACAAACAGTATAGATTTTGACGCTAGGTTCTGGTAAAAAAAAAAAAGATTTTGACGCTAGGAAAATTAATCTTCAAATATATGATTTCTAATAAAGTGTTATGGTGTTTTCTTTCTTTTTCATCATATTATTAATCATGTTATATGCCTTGTTGTTGTTGTTTTTTTTTTTTTAATCAATCACAAGCAATTATAGAATACCACCTTCGGTCCTCAATATAATAGCTTGTTTGACTTTTTATTTTGATACTAAATATAAGGCCCCAATTCATTTTATCTCTTATATTTGCATTTTTTTCTCACAGTAACCATTGTAATAATGATAGTTATAACTAGTACACTTGATTAGTAATGATATTTTTAGAAAGACAATGTATATTTATTATAAATAATTAACTTAACTAGTTTCCTTAATTTATTTAAATTAGTCAACTAGTTCTTATATTAAATACTTAAGGTAGTACTAATTAGAATCAGGTGAAATTATGAAAACTTTATTTAAAGATAAGCACTTAATAAAAAAACTGTTGAGACTTACTACCTCCGATCTTAATTATAAGACTTTGTTATTACAAATGAGGTTTTATAATTAGGACTGATGTAATATTAGAAATCAAGTGAAATTATAAAGACTTGCAAATTAATTTTTTTTATATTTTATTATATATATTAGCTTTCAAAGACACATTCAAATATAGAAAATTGATTGGCTTTTAAAATTATAAATTTTTTAAATAGACTTATTCAAACCAATCTTTTAAATTAAAAATTTGGTTATAAAAAATTGTAATTTGAATTATATTGAGAATTTATGAAACCTTGAATGCCAGATGAATTCGGGATTTATTATAGTGAGGGATGGATCGGTATAAATAAAAGATTTTTTAAAGATAATATTTAGTAAATAAAGGATTAGGTAGCACCCTTTTTTTGGTCAAAAGATTAGGTAACACCCTTTAGTAATTTTACACTAGTTTTATATGCATACACATTTTAAAGTATTTTTCTAGCAACTCCTATCCAGAATTTTTTTAATGAATTTGACTTAAAAATAAATAAAAAAATTTTTTAATTAGTTTTTTATTTTGCCTCATCTCCATTTCTACAATTTTTTTCAAATTAAATTTATTAAAATTTTCCTGCTTGATGCTACTTCATAAATAAATGTTATTTTGGAAAATTCGACAGCAAGGCGGACGAGGGGGTCAAAAGCAGCACTCGCCTTTGTTGAGATCGAAGTTTGGGACTTGGATATCAACAAGGCGGAAGAGTAAGTGAAGGACAGCACTCGCTTTTGAGAAGCTCTTGAGATCAAAGATTGGGACTTGGAACTTCGGACTCAACAAGGCGGAAGAAAAAGTGAAGAAAGACACTCACTTTTGAGAAACTCCTGAGATCAGAGTTTGGGGCTCCGAACTCCTGAAATGGCGCGAAAGATGGAACCACGACGGAGGAGCCCGAGTGGAAAGTGGGAATACATATGGCCAATGTGGTTGACGCTGTTGCTTCACGTCGTCGCCATTTTCCTATTCACCAGAGGCTTTCTGCTTACTAGAACCGAGCTTCCTTACTACAGCAGTTGCTCCGACATTTCCCAGTCCCCTTGCTTTTCTTCTTCTGATAACTTGAACAGCACCACTAATTCTTCAGATGGGTCTTGCTGGACTAAACCTGCTATAAACCGTCTGGTTATTATTGTTCTTGATGCTCTCAGGTATGTTGTTCGTTCATTCTTCTATGAATCTCCCATCTCACCTGATTATATTTTTGGGATATGTACAGGGTCCTTTTTCTATGTTCTTCATTGTCAGGATTATGTTTTGGGTGCATTTGACTTTGTTTATCGCTTTTCAGGTTTGATTTTGTCGCTCCCAGTTCATTCTTTCCTGGTCAGTTATCTAATGCTACCGTCTGGTTCCACTCTTCTTATTTTCCTTCTCCTTCTTCTTCTGGGTAACGAAGACTTGAGTTGACCTGTATTATTTCCATCTGGAATCGTTGCTTTGGTACCTTAATACAAATTTTTAGATTGACAATGAATTGCAACTTTAGAATAATTTCATCTCATGCTTCAGAATCTAAACCATGGATGGATAAATTACAAGTATTGAGGATGGTGGCTTCTAGAAATGGATCATCCGCAAGAATCTTTAAAGCCTTTGCTGATCCACCTACAACAAGTTTGCAGCGACTGAAGGTCAAATTAGTTGCATTCTTTTTATAGCAGTGCAGTAATAAATATCTTCTCATAATCTGGAATAAAATGTGAGTTTTCCGATGAAGCGATGACCATGTGCTATGGCCCTATAAACTAGTCTTTTCTTCTTCCTTGGATTCTTGTGGACCATACTGTGCATATTTTTACCTGCACTATATGTTAGCATTTTACATGTTTTGCTTTATACTTGTGCTTCTTTACTGTGAATGATTAATTCTGCTACCCTACATATGGTGCAACTCCTTCTAAGAACATTCAAATCTTTTTTAGACTATGTTAGTTCCCATGACGGGAAACCTGTCCTTATTTTCATTCATATAGTATAATCTAAGTGGCAGTCTAAGTTTTCAGATTTCTTTGTTTCTTCTTGGTTTTCAATCTGTATGTAAATTTAATTAGATGTGTTTTCAGTCAAAGATGATACCTGATCCTCTGGTGTTTTGTTCTTCCTTCCCATTTTTATGAGAGTCCTTTACTGTTAAAATGTAAGAAAATTTATTGCTGACAGTTTTTGGTTTCTTCCTTTGGGTAGGGCTTGACTACTGGGGGACTGCCTACTTTTGTAGATGTTGGGAATAGCTTTGGTGCACCCGCAATTGTTGAAGATAACCTCATACATCAGGTAGGATTTTTCTTCTCTTCCCTGTCTTGTAATACTAAGTTTTTGTATTCATGTATTTCATTCCACTTTGAGATGCCTGACGGTTCTTACCAAATTTTGAAATTCAAATCACTTACAGTTGGTTCAGAATGGGAAAAAAGTTCTTATGATGGGGGATGATACGTGGACACAACTGTTTCCTCATCATTTTGAAAGATCATATCCATACCCTTCTTTCAACGTCAAAGATCTTGATACGGTATGACATAATATTGTTTTTAATTTTAAAAGAATGCCATATAATAGTTAGATTTGACTTTGGGGTTACAACTTCTTAGTGAAATGTTTTTGTGGCTTTTCATTCAATGAATAGGCATAAAATTTTACATTTGACTGCTAATTTTTGTCACTCTAACATAATGCTGGTTATCCTTCAGGTTGACAATGGATGCATTGACCACCTTATTCCATCTCTTCATGAGGAAAATTGGGATGTTCTTATTTCACATTTTCTTGGAGTGGTGTGTTTGATATTTTTCACGGAAAAATATATGTCTTTCTACGATGTTTTGTGTGTTTATGTGGCTAAAATTCCAACCTAATTAGTTTGTATTACACTGCCAATTTATTTTACTTTTTTCCCTTGTTAATAGACTGCAATTTCAATTATTGACGTTGATTTTGAATTCTGGATTATTTTTTAGCTTGAAAAGAATATTTTGAGAAGTTTATCAACTTTTCAGATCCTATAGCTTGACAATTATGTGGGTATAGCCGTACTAGTTGTGATGTACTACCTTTGGTTCAAAATATAAGATTTAGTTTGTAGTGCAAATTACACTATAAATTAGATCTTATATTTAGAACTGGAGGTAGTATCCGGTTTATCAAGAGATGCATTGGTAGTGCAGTTTATGGGATTCATTGGTTTTATGCTTGGAATGGTATGCATACATCTTTAAGGGAACTTCTTTAATTTTTCCATGGGATATTTATTTACATGTGGCTTCCCTTCGGTGCTTAGCACATTGTCTCTTTAAGGAAATTATTTTATCTAATATGCAAAGAGGTTGTATACCTCTATTAGATTCGTAGCCATTACACGTTTTCTTTCACTTTGTCCTATATTGGACTTTCCTTGTAATTTTTGGTCTGAAGATATCTTTACCTTCAGCTGGCCATAAATTATTCTTTCTAATAAAATTTCTTCTTTGATGAAAAGTAAACAAATACTAAAATCTTATGTTTTAAAGTGAGAAAAAAATATGTGTGCAATAATTTGGCTTTGAGATGTAGTTTAGAAGAAGTTGTATTTAAAATGGTCTGAGGAGTATGACAGTATTCTGGATGCTGTGTAGTGTCAATGAAGGTTCTAGATTTGCTGAAAGCACAAATAATTTCTTATAGTGATCTGATGGGTCATTTCTTCAGATTTTATAACTCATGATAAATTATTGACCAATAAAAAAGCATAGGATTAGTTTCAAAGTTGTATAACAGAATTTACGAATGATTTTTAGTCTTTTACTTCTTTTTTTCACTGAATTATAATTATACAGAGGGTAAGTAATTTCCACCATTTTTATGTGTTTTCTGTATATTCCAGGATCATGCTGGACATATATTTGGTGTTGATTCCAACCCGATGATAGAAAAGTTGCAGCAATACAATAATATTTTAGAGGTATGTACTGGCACTATTATTATTAAATGATAAGACTTTTCAGGTTTAGTGTTGCTACTTTCAATTCAACTAGAAACGTTCATAGATAATTTGATTTTATATTTGTTACATTAATGCATAAATAAATAGTGATAGATAATTTTGGTTTCTGTTGTATATTGATTATATTTTATAGTATCATCGTGTCTTAGTTCTTATAACGCCTTCTGAAGTTACTTGCCAAAAGTGTAGGAGCTGTCTTTGTTGTAATTTATTTCTTGTTGGTTTTCCATTTTTTTATTGCTTTGAGACATCCAACTGCACCTGAGTATCGGTTTTCATCTTATCTTATCTAGGTTTAAGTTAGTTTAAATTATTAATATTATTATTTTAATAAATGAACTTTGGGCTCTATAAACAGCTCTAGGGCTACTTTTATATTAGACTTTTTCCCGTTGAATAGGATTGAGATTATTTGCCATCTACTGCTCCATTCTTCCCTACTTCTCTCTCTCATCCCTTTGTTATGCATCTGTGCAAGTAAAATGCTGAATGTGGCACTCATTTGTTTTTACGTTAGAGTAGCTATGTATTATGGAATTAGATCAATTGGGGTCTTTGGTGAGATATGTCTGGGATTTAGAGAAGTTTCTCTTTATTTGTTCAACAGTTTGTGGACAAAGGAGGGAAATAATTTCTCAGTGTGCAGTTTTTTCCTCATCTTTTCTCTTTTCTGTAATTTGGACATATGGTTGGTTCATACCTTCAGTGGTACTTCTTTGTCTTTAGATGAATCATGGGGTAGAACATTTTGTAGATTTATGAGGTTATGTTCATTGTTTTTCTTGGGGAACTCACTTTATATGTTAAGGGATTGGGCAGCTTCAGTGTATGTTCAAGTTTATATTTTTGTTCTCAATAGTTCTCTCAAGTGTTTTATATGCTAATACTTTTTTTAGTTTGTTTAGAGACTTATCACAATATTAATTATTAATACTAAGATGTGGACAGCACAAATCATGAAGATCCGCTGCACTCTTAATTTTTTGGGACCTCCCCATTATTTTAAATTGTGTGATTGTATTGTGTTATCTTACTTAAGCCCTATTTAGCTCATTTGGTGTTTGCTTTATCCCATTTCAATTTAATAAACAAACTTAGCATTTTGACGCAGAGAGTAATTGAAGAGCTCGAAAGTCAATCTGGACCTGGGGGTTTACATGAGAATACTATGCTTATTGTGATGGGTGATCATGGACAAACCCTAAACGGTGATCATGGTGGTGGAGGTTCTGAAGAGGTGTGTTATACAGTGTCTGTCCACACATTTGGGTACATGAGTATCCCTTGTCTTTCGTTCTTTCTATTTTATTTAGGACATCTACTGCCTCATCTTGCAGGTGGAAACTGCTGTCTTTGCTATGAACTTTAAGAAGCCTCCATCTTCCATACCACCAGAATTTGATAGTTCTGCTTGTCGACTTGACATGGTATTAGTATATCTTTCATTACTGGCTTCACACAGAGTCATAATTATGCCAGAAAAATAGACAACTGAATGGAAGTTATGTATACATGGGGAAGCTGTGGTGAGCGACTGGAATATAAAAGCTGTAAAATCAGTATGGATTAGTTTATGAAATCTTCTTTAGGTAGGAAATTATCAGAACATATCTTTAGGTAATTGTATTATCATCATCTTCCGGAGCTTTTATTATCTTGAAGCCTTATCTTGTGTACTTAGTTTAGTATAAAACTATGAGGGACTGTTCTTAGTGACACTCATGTTCATTCTTTGTAACAAGCTGAGAGCTTATACAATTTGCAGCTTGTGGGACAATGTCAAATCCCTATCTAGAGTTGGACGCATGTTACAGAGTTTTATAGGATATATTTTATATATTTTTATACTAGAAAAGGGGGCTGTATGATTTGAACATCTCTAACGGGAGGAATGAGTAATCTACCCAGAATAAATTTTATGCGTGTAATTTAATTTGAGCATTTTTCAAGGGAGGTGACCAGTGATTTACTCTGTATATTTTTTTTCTTCTCTAAAATCACTAATATTGTCTTTGATTACAGGATGGGAATAATGTCTGCATCAGCTCCATGCAACAGGTTTGAAAGGCACTTTTGTTTAGTGTGATTCCCTTCAAGCACTTAAATTTATGAAAACCCATAATTATCCCTCTTTGACTGTACTTTTGCAGCTTGACTTTGCAGCAACAGTTTCAGCATTGATTGGTATCCCTTTCCCTTATGGAAGGTGCGGTTTAAGCATGCTGTCAATGTTTCTGTTGTGTATTTTCATCTTATATTGAATCAGATTTAATGTGAATGAATTCTCTCAACCCTTCTCTAGTTCTTCTCTCTTTCCCCCTCTGTTCCCCTCGTCCTTTTAGTTTCCCTACCTTTCTCTCTCATTCCTAATTATAATCATGAGACAAAATTCTGGGTTCAATTTTCCTCTGAATTTATTTTGTTAGATGGAAATATTACCTTTATAGATAATGAAAGAAAGATCCCATAGCTCTCAAGTGATTAAGTGATAAAGTTTCATACAAACAAAATATTTAAATGATCTTATCATAATCAAAATTGTATAACATTATCCTTATTAAAATAGAACAACTAATTATAAATACATGAGGCAAAAAATCCAAAAATAGTCAAACAAATAATTAAAATTAACAGTACTGTCCAAAAATATAAATGATTCAGAGTTGTCAGAGGACTTTTGGACTGTTGTTAGTTTAATTAATTGTAAAGAGAGGAAGGACTAGATAAAATCAAGGGAAAATTGGTCAAAAGGACCAAATGGTTCAAACATTTGGGGAAAAGGACCGAATTCAGAATCTGCAATTTTTTCTTACCCAAAAAAAAAAAAAAGAATCTGCAATTTTTCTTCCATGATTCTGCAGCTTTTCTTCCATATTCTGCACGTTAGGTCATTTTCCCCAAATATTTGAGCCATTCGGTCCTTTTGCCCATGAGCTACTCTTGCAATCAAGTCTGGTTAATCCACAGAGGGGGAAACACAAAAACTTATATATTCATTGTCCTTCAGATTTTTTGCCCTAAAAGCCAAGGCCATGACTGCGTGTGCAATATTCATTTGGTTCTCCCCCGTTTATTGTCTGAATGGACCAAATCCTTTTTGGTAGTTTTATCCCATTCTTTCAATCTCTTTCCAAGATATTTCGCTTTATTTTTTGTAGGTTACATTGCTATTTTAAGTCAATGTATGCTTTAAATATGGAAATTCTGTTTTGATGTCTGATTATGCTTTCCTTACATCATCATGGTGTACTCACACTGTAAAAGAAATGTCTTGGGAACTAATTTAAGAACTCATGAGGCAGTATTAATTTTGTTCTCAGTATTGGTCGTATCAATCCTGAGCTGTATGCTCTAGGAGCTCGGAGGTGGGATTTGGGAGCCCCTCAGGAGCCATCAGAATCAGATGTCTGGATGCAGAATTATGCTAACGTGCTATGTGTCAATTCTTGGCAGGTTTTTAAGCCTTTGAACTTTTAATTCCCAATTACAGAATAAGTATATTGTCTTCTCTTCAATTTTACCAATCACAGATTTGGCTAGGTAATTACGAAACTTTGAGTACTCAATTATGCGCTTCAAAAGTTCCCATATTTCTGTTTCTGGACTAGTGCATTATTTCGTAGTCTTATCCCTCCACAAACATATAAAGTTGCCATCAGTTCTTGTGGAGTTTCTTCATTAAATTTTTTTCATAAAACTTGTGCTAATTCTCAAGAAAAAGTATTTACTGTTGGATTTGACAGTCCAATGCTGCAAAATACTATAGAGCTGATTCTTGTACATAATCTAACAAACTCATATCATCTCTCTTTTGTTAACAAAATACTTGCATGTAAAATTTACACTTGATGCAATTTTAATGCAAGTAAATCTTGTTTCGGATTGTTACATTCTTGTTTTTTATGCTTTCCAACAGCATTGTAGTTTGAGTATACCCTCTTTGCTTTAACATGACATTCTGGGTGCTTATTTGACAATTCTGAAAGTGAAATGAGTTGTCAGGAGAATGATCATATGTTCTCTGTGCACGCACGTGCATGCACACAAGTATATCTATGCTCTTCCGCTGTCTCATTTTACTCATTTTGAGGATGCACTTTTTCAGGTGAAGAGATATATAGATGTTTATTCAGCTTCATCAGCTGTTGGATTTTCCTCTGATGACTTGTCTCGAATAGCAAGCACTTATGCTCAAGCAGAGAGCCATTGGTTGCATTCAACTAAGAAGTTACTGTCAGGCAGCAAAAATGGCAGTGATACAATTTTGCCTACGCTTCAGAAGCAAATTGATGCATACTTTAATTTTCTAGCTACTGTTGCTGAGTTAGCTCGCCTCAAATGGACCGAGTTTGACTTGAAACTGATGATATCTGGCATTTTAATCATGCTTCTATCAATCATTTTTCAAATTCTCTCCATGTTAAGAGGGAACAAGCAGCTTGGTATATTTATGCCACTATCTGGAGCTTCTGGAATTTTCTCCATCTCAACTTTGGCATATGTTTTACTGGCAATCCGTGCATGCAGTTTCCTTTCAAACAGTTACATCTGTAAGTCTGAAGCACTTGTATATTTATATTGGTGCGCATTACACCTTAGCTTTCCTAGACATTCTTCTCATTTCTTTTTGGCTTGGAGTTTGTTGTCAGTGGAGGAAGGAAAAGTGGCAAATTTCCTTTTGGCCACATCTGGGATTGTGATGTTACGATACGCAGTCAGGAAGGAGAAGCTATTACCAGAGGTGTGTATCTCACCTTGGTTTCATTCTCCTGTTTGGCAAGTTTATTGTTATTTGAGAACTTTCTTACTTGACAAGGCATAAATTCTTATAAGAACTTCCATTGATTTTCATAGTAAGAAGTCCCTGAACATCATTTTTATTTTCTGCAGAGTTTTGGATTCCTTCTCTTGTGCGCGTTTTGTCAATTTTCCATTGAAGTTGGGCTGACAAAACAGGCTGCCACATCTGCTTTCATGAAAGAACACACTTCATGGATCCTCAACATCACATCCGGTTTTCCAGTGTGGGAGTTTGTGGCTGAAGTTGCACCCATGCTAGCTCTGATCCTGTTGGCATTTCTACTGTACAAGGCCACCAATAACAGTTCCTTCAAGTGGGCATGGAAGTATACTATTCGGAGTACCATCTTGAGTTACATGCTAATACTGTTGCATTGGATTTCAGACGGTAATAGGATCGGTTTTGCACTGATGCCTGAAAGCATTGGAAGAAATTACGTTCCCAGGATCATCTATGCTATTTCTTTGGGGCAGCTGTTATTGCTGTCATTTGGTGCTCTATTTGAGGATAACTCTTTGGATTGCAAGAAAAATTTAATCACAAAAACAGTGGCCATTTTATCTGCGTGGAGTTCGACTGTCATTCTTCTTTCTGGAAAGCAGGGTCCCATGATTGCCTGTGCATCCACAATTGGAGGTTCTCTTTACTACTGTCTTGTGTTATTTTACTAGATCCTGCTGTCTAATGCTTAAAACATGTTACTGTCATGGTTCCTTCCTGCTATTGTTAACAAATCAGTGATGTATTTTCCTTCATCTTTATGAGCATGAAGCTACATCCATTTTTTCTTAAGATTTTTCCCCATGCTATCAAACTACCTTCCAGGTTATTGTATATTGAGGATGGATAATACAGGAGAGCGTACTACGGAAAGACCAAGCAGCAGTTCGGCTGTTGATCCCTTCCGTGTGATGCAATGGAGCCTTTTTGCTGTGTGCCTCTTTTTCTGCAGCGGTCACTGGTATGTTAGCTGTTTCTGTCTGAGGTTAGGATGTATTATTTCAGCTTTATCTCGTGAGCTCTCTCGTGGTTTCTGCATCTTCCTTCAGCGTGCGTTAAGCACATTCAACAGATTAATTATTAACCCTTGAACATGATAGACTTCTGCATTTTTATTTTCAGGTGTGCTTTTGATGGTCTTCGTTATGGTGCTGCATTTGTGGGGTACATTACATTAATGTTTGCCATTTTTAAAATAGTATTTATCCATATTTCAGATAGAAATATAATCACTAGATCTCTTGCGATTCAAGGCCAACATTGCAGAACATTAAACTTCTCTATCTCTTGGAAACGATCAATAACTGATCTTAATGGGGTCTTTTTCACATGTTTTACTGTTTGCTTGGCATTTTAATGATTTTAATACATTCATTTCAGGTTTGAAGAATTTGTTCTCATTCGTCAAGCAATCCTCCTAACAATTGATACCTTTGGTTTTTCGATCATCCTTCCAGTACTCGGTCTCCCATTTCTTGTAGCAACCATGAAACAGGCTAATCAAACAAAACATTTTATCTACACACAATTATCTCAAGTGAGTTCCCTTTACTCGTAAGTTGTTAGGGTTCCCCCTACTTAACCATGGAATGTTCTGTTTTCTGACACTCTTAAATACAATGTCTTGTTAAGGCGTATGTGATGTATGGGCTAAGTACAGCAATTACAACAACTTTTGCAATATTATGTGTCACGGTTCAGAGGCGACACTTGATGGTAAAAATGATGTCAGATGTTTTTTTTTTCCTTTTTTTGGGGTCAACACATTTGCTGTTTTTTGTTGTTAATCCAGTAAAGTCGATGTTTCATGTTCTCGCAGGTATGGGGTTTATTTGCTCCCAAGTTTGTTTTCGATGTGGTTGGTCTTCTCCTTACAGACATCTTCACATGTTGGGCTTCACTTTACTATTTTGATCAAGTCAAGGATGACCAATAGCTCTAATATCAGGATGCTGATTAGTTATATATTATGTTAGTGATCTGCATTTCATTTTTTCAATTTTTTTTTCACCAATTCTTTTTCTCCCTATTTTTTGCATTGCTGTATATAGATTCATTCTACGATCACACAAATTTTGTAGTTAGATATTTCTTTATGACAGTATAAGCACATGAATCTATAGCTTGCTCCTGAAAACCGGCCAAATCTGTCTCTTGCTTAATTTTGTTGTGGCGATAAAAACATAAGGGGTGTTTGGATAACACCAAACTATGGTTTGGAAAATAGCTTCTAGGAATTTAGTTATTTTTTAGAATAGATTTTGGAAGATTCTGATAAAGTGAAAGTGTTTGGATAGTTATTATCAAAAACACTTTTTATATGCAAATTACTAAAAAAAACATAAGTTAATATGATAATTACATGAAAGATAGATGTTATAATATATTTTAATTTGAAGGAATAAAATTATTAATAATATGTTTTTACCAACATAATTAATAATATATGAATAATGTGTTTATATATTTATAAAATATGAGATTAATGTTTATAGAAAAATGATTGAATAACAGAGGACAGAAGGCTGAAGGTATAATTGAATAATTGAATTCTAGGGTGTTTTTTTGTCATGTACAAAATTGTCTGACAGCTCATCATCGACGGTCCTCAATTATTAGGCTAGAAGTAGTTTCATTTTCCTTCGCAAATCATGGTTTTGGCTCAAATCATGTTTTGAGTATTTTTGTCACTGTTTGGCAATTTTTGGGTCCAAATCATGGTTTGGGTCCAGAATCACTTTTGTAAAGATTGCCAAGTCCATAGTCTTATTAATTAGAGAAGCAGGTATTAACGAGATGAGGTTTGTAAAAACAGTTTGCATGACACCAAGTCACGAGAACGAGGAAAATATAATTTTTTTTTTTTTAACATTCGATTTCATGATCCATCAGTACAAGTAATTGCAGAGGAAGAATTCTCAAGAGGAACAAGCTTGGCCTTATCTACCTAGAAAGAAATTGTCATTATCCTTAGTTTAATTATATAATCTTCAATTAATCATTCAGTAACAAATTAAGAAAGGACAAGGGTATGATCGGAATTTCCAATTTCTTGTAGTAGCATGAAGGAATCATTGATGTGTTTATAGCTCTCACACATTCTGTTAACTTTTACTTAATTGATCCTGCTTTGGTTCACTGCTTTCATCAACTTTAGGCCTTGTGTTCATAAGAACCTGCCAATCACACATTAGCAAAATTAAATTGACTATTAACCATGGAAAATTTTCGTTATAATTAATTAAATTTTGACACACTTGTCATCATAATTTTTTGGGGAAGAAATCCAAAATAGAAGAAATCAGACTTTCATGCAATATCTTAATTGAATTATATATAATGAGTAAATTGTATAGATTTCCTAATATTTTACTGAAATTATACGCAATCCCTCCTATCATCTAGACTAACATATTCATAAATTTCTCTTCAAGGTGAAAAAGTAAATCGACTTGGGGGTGTTTAGTAATTCTCAAAAGTGTTTTTAAAGAGTAATTTTCTGCAAAATGATGCAAACTCTTCTACATATTTATTTCATAAATCCTAAAAATACTTTTAAAACCATAGTTTGGTTTTAACCCAAACATCCTCTTAAGAAATTAGTTTAAAAGCCTATCATCTAGCCTATAGTTTGGTTCCGCTTACCTTTAATTAAACTCTTATTATTTGATTCTATACCATCCTTATTTTTTTGTGAACTTTTATCCTAGAAAGCCCTTTTCCGTGCTAATTTCTTTTATATATTAATCAGGGAGACGGACACAAAAATAATCCCAAATCTAAAAATCTTAATTTAAGACCCTAAATATCCTACTCACTTTGAAATCCTCAAAACTTAGTCTGAGATTAAATTTTATAGTGAACTGAAAACAGCAATAAGCAACCACTTTAACTTATTATATTAAGTAGCAACAAAGGCATTGGCAAGTAATTTCACAGAGGACAATTATGTCATTTCAGAAAAAGAAATAAATACTAGAATAGTACATAACAATGTTGTTTAAGGGTGTTTGGATACCATCAAAATTGTTTTTTAAAATCATTTTTTTACAAATTAAGATAAACTCCTTTACAAATTTACTTTGTGTACTGTAAAATTATTTTTAAAATCATAGTTTGAATTCCACCCAAATAATTATAAATCATTTAAAGAGACGATTGGGATCTCGTTTAAATGTCTTTCTCCCTATTATCTATTTCTCATACGATATCAAGGAGAAAAGGCTAGGTGAAAATAAATAATACTACCTCCAGTTCTTAATATAACATCTCGTTTGATTTTTATTTTGGTCATAAATATAAGACCCAAATCTATTTTATCTCTCATTTTTATGCAATTTTTTTCAAGACAATTTTTCTAATAATTATAATTTTAGCCAACACACTTGATTAGTAAGGATATTTTAAGAATGACAACATTCATTTATTACAAAAAACTAACTTAACTTGTTTTCTTCATATTCTCAAATTAGTCAACTAGCTCTTATAATTAGGACCGGAGATAGTAGTATAATAAAAATAATAATATTGATGTAAGTTCAACAAAATTAAATATACCTTACGAAGCATGGTGTTCTCATTGATCACAGTAGAGATACGCTCTTCCAACTTGTAATTCTTGTCTTGCAACTCCTTAGCCTTCGCTTCCAACTCATTCACATACACCTTCTTCCTTTCTCTTGCCTGCTGTGCTGATACCCTATTCCTCAACAGCCTGCTCATTCATATATGTGTATGTGTGTGTAAACAATGGTTAATCTCATGGTCACATGAAACTGAGAAAACATAAAGAAAAAGAAATCTAATTTAAAAAAGTACCACTATTTAACTATTTATAAGTCACTTATAAAATAATTAAAGATTTTTTTCCCTAATCTTATCCCTTTTTCACTTAATAAATGCAGAAAGAGATAACATAAAATATAGTAGAAAAAATGTAGAACATATTTTTAATACCCTTCTTTTGTAGGCTTAGGATGCAAATGACTTATAAATACACATAAAATGATAAATACTAATTGGAGTTACTATAATCTTTACTCTTTCAAATTAGTCTTCATTTTGGTCTCTCAATATTAAATTACAACTTTCGGTGAGGAGGTAAAATGAAGGTTTTTATTTAGTGCTTATCATTATGATGGGCATACTGTAATGTAATCTAAACCATCTAAAATCTAATATGGATAATTCAGATTTAAAATTTTTAATATATAATTTTTTCAATGATAAACTTGTTTTTTAAAGATATGTTAGTTATGATATTATATTTATTTTAAATTATATATATTAAAACAAAGAATTGATTAAAATATATAAAAAATTTAAATTAACCATCTAAAATATATCTGGATGATTCAAATTGTGATGAGTGTGGAATGTGCTTCCAGTAAAATGGTCCAATTTATACTAAATTATAAGAATTAATGTTAGAAATAAATAGAAATAAAAAAAATTGAGGGATTAAAATGAAGACAAACTCATACGACTAAACTTTGCATTAACCTTACTAACTGCCTGATATTATAATTGAGATTGAAGCAACCACCACAATTTTCATGTGACTAGGAATATGAGATCTTCAGATAAATATACCTCTTGAGGCGTCTGCCCTCTTTATCTGCAGGGTTTCTTCCTCTTCTTCGTTTTCCACTCTGAGGCTGAGCTTCTGTCACTGTCACTGTCACATTGCTTAAGCTCGCATTCCCATTTGAAACAACAGCCCCTCCTCCTCCTCCTCCACGCTCTCCGCTGCCACCGGCCGCCGTGGCTTCCATGTCCGGCACTCTGAACAGATCCTCATCGCTTTCTTCTGCAACACTATCCACTTCAATCTACACTACTCTCATATCATCACAATGAACTCTACTTTTGTTCCTAACAATATTCCATCTTCCTCGTATATCTCTCATTATTATCCCATGAACAAACTTAGAATATGTTCTTACTAAGAGGAAGAAAACTAAGGATCAAACTTCAAAAGTGAAACTTTTGGGTGTATTGCAGATTAATGAACTCACCGATTTTGCTGGTCTTGTGAAGAGGGAAAGGGGTGTGCGTATGGTTGTTGAGCCTGTGGTTCCATGAAGAAGATGAAGAAGAAGCAGACACTAATCCTTCCCTGCTGAGCTGAACAGACATAATGTCTCTTTCTTCTTTTTGGAGAGCCTTTTTTTCCTTAGAAAATTACAAGTGAAGTGAAGGAAGTGTGAATGCTTGCTTGGAATCATCTCATCGCAGAACGAACCATTTAAGGCATGGGAATGGCACCTAAGAGTTTGGTTCACAATTGAACACGTTGTTGTCTACACAACCGCCACTTTTTAATCACATTGCACAGTATTTGGAAAATATATATAAAGAATTTTTAATATATATAGACATATTAGTTCCAATTCTTAGTAGCAGAGCTAGTAAGCTAATTTAGGAAGACTAGGAAAACTAAACAAATCACTTAATTATAATATATATATTATATAATCTTTATGAAATACTTATGTCAATTTATAAGTCACGCAAATTAATTGAAAAGAAAATAATAAATATAATAATTTATATAATTTATTTAGTTTCATTAATATCTTCAAATTAGTCAAATATATCTTATATTAGGAATCACAATATTATGTAATTATTTACCTTCTTATTTTTTGTAGTTTTTTCCTGTGTTTGAGTCAGCTTACAAGGAATTTTGCATTTTTATGAAATAAATTTTTTTAGAGAAAATGACAAAAAAAAAGTTAAAAATTACTGAATTTCAAATCAAATTTGGTAACAACACTTTATTTGGTTTTGAAAATATTAAATTTGTAAATAATAACAAATTTTTGTTGACATTTTTTATTTGATATTTAGTAATTTTTATTTTTTTGGTCATTTTTCTTTTTTTTTTAACAATATTTACTATATATAGCTCAAAATTATTTTTCTCAGGCTAATCCAAATCGGCACTTGCACTTCTTTAATGTAGCAATGTTACGTGCTGATATATTTCCAACTTTTCAAAGAACTGTTGGCTTTATTTTTTAATGCAACATTCTGAAATCTAGTAGACTAGTACTAATAGGTCAGATTTGAGTTTGTGCTGAAATATTGCCATTTTAGTTTTGTTTTAAAAGCATTAATTGTTTTGTTA